CTTTGAAAGTGTATTTAAGATGGCACCATGTGGCAATCTACCAGAACAAGATAGAGTATCAATGTTTGTCAGGCCATGCATTGTATCATTTAAACCTTACAATAAGCCAGTAAAATTCTTTTTATCATTACCATTCTAAAAGTGAAGAAATAGAGGCTCAGAAGAAATATCTTTCCCAGAGAGTAAGATGTTATCGACTTAGGCAACTGAAGGTTCAGATTAGGGCTACCTTGGAACATTTTGACTCGGAGACTCACTGCATTATCTGTTCCCCAGAACATTCTCTTTTACCTTCTTGCAGCTCTGCCCTCACTGTATCCTCAGCCCAGTTCCCCTAGAAGCTGCAGCCATTCCTGGTCTCCCATTGCCATACCACACAGTCAAGGGAATGAAAGAATCTGCACCCAAGAATTCCGAGCATAAGCAACAAGCCCTTTTATGTCACATGCCCACTCCTGTACCAATTATTGAGACCAGGGAGAGAAGTGACTCTGACTAGTTCAACCTTGTCAAAAACTAAATGTCCCTTTTTAACAATGTCACTAAGAATGGGAGAACCTCTGTTTGCCAAAAGTAAATCTGTACACAAGCAGGAAAGAGGAAAGGGGAATGCTTGGTAGAGGGGCAACCAATGACTGTCCAACTCAGTACTTCATAGAAAAAGGGATCACCATTTAAAATAATCTTTATAGTGCCCAGACTCTGTAAGGACTCACAAAGCGACAGCCGTTGTTGAAAGCATTGCCAGAACACTGGTTTGTTTGGGTTTTTTTTCCGGTACCGGGGATCAAACTCGGGTCCTTGCACTTGCGCAGTAGGTGGTGAAACCACTGAGCTAAATCCCCAGCCCAGAACACTGGTTTTTAACTCTCATTAACCATTACATAAAATTTCAAGAATTGAATATATGTGATTAAAAAAGTACCAAGACTTTCAAAGAAATTTGTTAGAACATACACATGTAATGAGTGTTGTCATTAGAAGCATTTTTTAAAATGAAAGTTTAATTGAGCTTTCACATGCTGCTCCCCTGTTCAGCATGTTGTTCCACCTCTGAAATCTGCTATGGCTGTGTTCTCAACATTTCTATTTGGTTTGGGAAAACTTCTTCTTACCCATGTCTTTTGACACTGGAAAATCTGTTAATTACAGCGCTAACCTTCCCTCCACATCCTCTCTTCAGTGGTCCTGCAAACCAGGTCTGACCAAGCAAGGTAATTCATTCTCCTTTCCCCGACCCCACCCATCATGAGTGGATCAAGGGATGGTTGAGACCCAAGTAAGACCAGTCACAGGGCTTCCAGGAAATTTGACCTATGTACACTAAGAGTCTTCTTACTGGGTCATCATCTGCCATGAGGTGGGTTTGGAACTGCTAGAATTATCTTTCCATACAGAGTCATATGAGGAAACCCTGTTTGTTGCAAGAGAGAAGGAATAGAAACTTCTAAGAAAACTTAGGAAAAAGACAGCTCTGACACTATGCTCCAGCCTGGGGATCTACATATGTGTGAAGTCAACTTTGCCCTTAGACCTGTGGTTTATATGCATCAATACAACACTTTTCAGTTTATGGTAGTGTGAGTTTAGTTTCTTTACTTGCACATGAAAGGATTCAGACAAATGCAATCAAAGTCTCTAATTCAAGCATCTTTCTTTTTCCACAACTGTCTTCTTTCTAGCTTGTTTGTTCAAAGATGCCTTAATAGGGCACTCAGTTCTTGATAAATTCTTCCACTTTTTCCATATTCAGTAGTCTCCTTTAGCCTTAATCTTCTTCCCTCTGTAACTTAGATTTATCCTTTATCATTTCAAAAACTCCTTTGCTCCCTTTTGGTAAAATTCAACCCATGGAATCTAACCACCCACACCTGAACACTGGTTAAACAACACTAGAGAAAAATCACACCAAGGACAGATTGATCACACCCTGGTTCATGATCATACCTCATATGGACCCTCCAGCAAAGGTTAGTCTTGTTGCATTGGTCTAATCCATTTTTTCCTATGTTTCCCAACAATAACATCAAACCTTTCCCATTTTTTTTTTCAAACTTTTCACAATGTTCATCATTCACTGCACTCTATCTCAGTGGACATCCTTTGCTTCATAGACAAAATAGAACCCATAAATCTCTTTCCAAATGTAACCTATTTTCTGTCTCTTCTCAAAATTATCTTTCCTGTTTAAGTGTCATCTATCTATCTGAGATTCAAATCTCACTCTCTCTTAACTTGTAAGGAACCTGCACTATCAGTTAGCTCTTCTCTAAACTGTACCTCTGATCTCACTAGGCTGGATAGCTATTTGCCTCTCCAAAGCCATTTTGCATCCTTCTTTACCCTCCTTTGTGCTGGGGGTGGGAGTGGGGTTGAAGTATGTATGAAAGATTCAACAGGTCTCATTGCTCTCTACTTTCTGATGGAGTTTGACCAATGGCCAGCCCCAGCAGGGACTGGAGGGATGGAAGAATGTGAAATGGTAGTATTTTCTTCTCCCACTTCTTGGACTGATATTTTCTTTTGATTAAGCTCATTGTCTTCTCAAGACAGCCCTCTCCATCTGAGTTCTGTTAATTTCTCCATCCCCTCATCTCTTTAAATATAAAGTAATCATTCCATTTTTCTTTCCCCAGGGTACTCTACAATCCCTTGTTGGTTTTCTGTACTGTAACAACACCGTTGTTTATAGTTCCTTCCTCCTAAATCTACTGTGGACTTGTAACTCCACAGAATGTGGAATTCCACATTAGAATTAGGAAAGGTGTTTTATCTGTTGCCTGCTGACTGATACAAACTCTCATGAATTCTTTGCATTAGTGTATATATATATATATATATATGTTCAGGTATCCTAGATTCACAAATCCATAATCTTTTCCTGTTATCTATTTTTGCTAGTCTACACTCTTGATTACATCTTACATCATCAGTCAAAATTGTTCCTTCTCTGAAATCCCAACCATGCTGGTGTTCTAAAATGAGACTTACATGCCCCAAAACTACACAGAAATATTTTTTTGTTGTTTCAGTCACCTCTGTGGTATTTTGTTATAGCACCCTGAGCTGACAAAGAGTATAGCACTTGCTGGCTCTTGGAAGAAGTCATGCTTCCAGATTATTTTATCTTTGTGGTCTGGCCTTCTTGCCAATGCTCACTGAGGTTGAATGTACTTTTCTTTCCCCCACCAATATATTCTCTCCTCTTTCTTTATCCACCAACACTCATCTCTGAGGAATCACCTTAAAGATCACTTCCTTCAGCAAGCCTTCTTTGACTATTCCAGGCTGATCCCATATTCTTTACCCATATTTTCTTTACCTATATATTCATAGCTTTCTCAGCTTAATTTTTTCTTATGTTCTATTGTAGTTTCCTAATCTGTCTCTCCTACTCATAGTAGCTTGTGAGGTCTTCAAGGCCAAGAGCTGTATTTTTAAAAATTTCTCTGCAGAGGTGCATATAGCAGCCAACTCATTGTTAATTTTCAACACATACCCATGAAACAAATGACTGAAACTCAAGCTGCCCAGCTCCACACTGTGCATTCAATCAAGCACTCTCTAACCCTATTCATTGCCTTGTAACACAGCTGGCTGTAAATGTGAAACTCTCACTCATGAAATCATGAACAGCTGTAAGATCATTATTTTCACACTTTATTTTTGTTTTACCCATGATACCTTCTTCTGTGCTTTATACATGTTATACGGACAATAATTTTGCTGCTGCTGCTGCTGTTGTTGTTGTTGTTATTAAAGACATAAGTATGTTTGGCAAAAATAAAGCTGTCTAAGCCTTCATTAGTAGAAGTTCAGTGTAAGAGTGTTTGTGTGCTTAATGACACTTACGTGGATCACATCACATCTGAAATATTATGTTCAGTTCTGGGCAATGATCATGCATTCCTTCCTTCAGCAAATGTTTATACAGTGGCCATTCTGGCCCAAACACCTTTTATTCATTGCCAAAGTCTTGGCAATTAAAAAAATAGGTTTAAAATCTTAGTTTGCCTTTTACTTTTGTTGCAGAAATAATCTCAAAAGATCAGTTACTTACTACATCCCCATTTTTAAATTTATGCTACACATTCATCATAAGCTGAATGTAGCTCAACCCCATGTAGTCTGTATTTCAGGGCCCATTTGGAACATCAGTGGTTTCATGGTAAAAAAAAAAAAAAAAGCATAGCCAACCATTCACTGGCTCTTAAAGTTCTATGAAGAAATCATTCACATCGTTATTGCTCACATTTCATATGGTCATGTCTGAATTCACAGAGAGTGGAGCAAATAAGGGTGAACAATAAAATTGTCTACCATACTACATCACCTAATCTTTTTATTTCCCCATTTTATCATGTTCAACATAATAAAAATCTCAGATCAAAATTAAAAGCTTTTGCTCATCAAAGAAAAGAATCAAGAGTGACGAGACAACCTACAGAATGGGAAAAATTTTTCCAGCTATTCCTTAGAGGACTAACATCTAAAATATATAAAGAACTCAAAAAAATTAGACCCTCAAAACAAAAGACCTAATAAAAAATGGGCAACTGGAATGAATAGACATTTATAGAAGGAGAAATACAAAGGGCCAATAAATATATGAAAAAAATGTTCAACATGTCTGGCTACTACAGAAATGCAAATTAAAACAAAATTGAAATACCATCTTACTCCAAAAAGAATGGCTTTCATCAAGAAATCAAGCAGGGGCCTGGGATTTAGTTCAGAGTCACTGCGCCTGCCTCACAAGCATAAGGTTCTGAGTTTAATCCCTGGTACCAAAAAGAAAGAAATCAATCAAATAATAACAAATGCTAGCAAGGATGTGAGGAAAAAAGAATTCTAGGAATGTAAACTAGTACAACTACTATGGAAGTCAGTGTGGAGATTCCTCAACTGAAAAAAAAGTTTAATTTGACCCAGCTATTGCGCATCTAGGTATCTTCTCAAAAGAGTTAAAGTCAGGGCCGGGGATTTAGCTCAGTGGTTTCACCGCCTGCTGCACAAGCGCAAGGACCCGAGTTCGATCCCTGGTACAAAAAAAAAAAAAAAAGAGTTAAAGTCATCATATTACAGAGATACATGAATATCTATGTTTATAGTAGTACAATTAATAACATCTAAATCTTAGAAATGGTCTATATGCCCACCAACAAATAAATAAAGAAAGAAAACGTGGTATTTATACACAAAGGAGTACTGCTTTGCCATAAAGAAAGACAAACTTGAGGCATTTGTAGGTAAAATGGATGCAACTCTCTCTAGAGTGAGAAAGAGAGAGAAAAATAGAGAAAATAGATAAGTAAGAAGTAGGGAGATACTTTCAAATGGATGGGGGAACAAGAGATGGAGGGAGAAGGGGGAACGGGGATGCGAAAAAAAGAACTGAAGAAAAAAGATGATGAAAATAGAACTTTTGAAAATGGAAAGGGGTCCAAGAGTTGGAAGGAGCAGGGAGGGAGAAGGGGGTAAGGAATCAGAAAAAAAAAAAAAAGGAATTAGGTTGTATGATGTACATGTATCAACTCCCCATGATAAATGTAACCAATATACACTGCAAACATGTACTAATAAAAAAGGTCCAAAATAAAGTATGTGAAGTATATGACTTATTGTGTTCTTTCAGGAAACGTTAGCTATCTTGGTTTAAATTCTATTAAAAGTTTTAAAATCTTGATATTCAGCATAAAATTACTGTAAATAAAGTTCTCTAAGTGCTTCAGAGTAGAGTAAATTTATTTTTTCTTCCTTTGAATGCTTTCTTTGAAGACTCAGTTAAGCTGACTGAATTATATTTCTTGCACTGGCTTGATGTGTTTTCCATCTCTTCCTTTCAACACTTTTCTAGAATTAAAGAAATCTGAAAAGAAATAGGTTGGTTAAAAATTCAATGATTTGATATTTTTCATGTTCAAGATCTGTTTTTTAAACAAGATTGTAAGCAATTTCATCTGGGAACATGTTTCATACTTTTTGCATCATGAGAAACTAGGACAATTCCCAAAGAATTTCTCAGTACTGATAAGGAAAGGTTGGAAATAGAATTGAAACTTTATGTTATTATTTCACAGTATTCACTGATTTAGTAAGTTTACAGTTGTAATTTAACTATATGTATTTTAAATGTATCTTAATTATTTGTTAAATTTACATATCATTGATATCATTTTTCTACCAAAAAATGTCAGCACAAAGAGCATGATTGATTTGGAATATACGTGTAGATTTACATAAACCCTAGTAATATTTCTTCTGGATTCATCCACTGAGAACTAAGTTAAATAATAATTTACTGCTTTTTCATTACTCTTCCTAGAATTACTCAAATAAGTCCTATATAAAGAGAGTTGAAAATTCTTTTTGTGATATAATTTATACAAGATCTTTAAATATTTGATGAGCATGTGAGTTATTAAATATGATTTTAAAAAACATTCAATTGAGGACTTTACAGGTTAGTTAGCTTCCTGTCACTGTGATAAAATACCTAGGAAAAATAACTTAGGAAGAAAAGATTTATTTGGGCTCACAGTTTCAGAGGTTTCAGACTGTGGTTGGCTGACTCCATTAATTTGAGCAGAGATGAAACAAGATATCATGGTGGAAGGGGGTGGTGGAACAAAACTTCACCCTATGGCAGCTGAGAAACAAAGAGAGGGTTAAAAAGCCCAAGAGGAAAAGGGCTGAGACCAGATATAGTCCCTAAGATCACACTCCCATGATCCACTCTCTTCAACCAGGTCCTAGCTCCATGATCCAATCACTTCCCAAAAAGCCCATCAGCTGGCAACCAAACCATTAATACGTGAGTTCTGGAGGACATTTCAAGTCCAAAGTAAGACTTAGAAATAGGGACATTCTGCAGTAGGTCTTAGAAATATCTATCTTCCAATTTAACCTCTCATGAAACTTTCTTTGAAGTGAGAGGACTGATGTTTGCAACTTTCCCGACTTGTTAGTCCCATGAACATGTGTGCATGGCAACCAGGTTATCCCCCAGCAGTGTGATCTTGTGCAGAGTGTCTGTGATTGTGCAAGGATTTGAAGATAAAAACGATACCCTGGGTTTCATTCAAATTAGTGACCAGGCAAGTGTTACTTTGATTCCAAAACCAGGGAAAGATTCCCTGGAAAAGATTCCTGGCTTTCATTCAAATTAGT